CACACAACAAACACTGAGCCAACACGCTCCACGCAGAGGGTTATCATGCTGGCGGTGTGTGTGTGTGTGTGTGTGTGTGTGCGTGTGTGTGTGTGGCGGTGGCTGTGGCGAAGGTGGAGGTCGCTGCGGTGCGGGTGGATGGGCTCATTAGGGCTGACTAGATTACTGTTGTAATTTAAATGACGATGATATAATTAAAACATAATGAAAAGACAAAAGGCTAAGTAGTCTTTTTTCATATTACGTGCTATTAAGGGACCTTCCTTGTCTATTGTTTTCGATATAATTAAGACAAAGACAGACGCTATTTTAATTATGTATTGTTGTTGTCCAAGTTAATATATGTCAAGCTCTTAAACGCATACATTACTCGCTTGACGGGATACTAAATATATAATACGACACAATGAAAACAAATATAAACATGCACGGTATTATGTTAACAATTAAGAGAAACCGTTAAAGTTCGAAGTAAAACATTTTCAAATATATAATTCGTTTCTTCTCACAGGAACAACCGATGCCATACACGTGTGTGTTCAACAGGTGTCTGGGTCACATAAATCATTCTTTTTATATAACTTACACACTCGTATACACACCACATACGTATGCACAAACACGCGGATATGCAAATACCTGCTTCCAGTCGCAGGGTCACGTATATAAAGGGAAAAGGTGTTATTGCTGAGCAAACGCAAATATAATAAAATGAATCTGTTATACAACCACACATTTAGGCAAACAGGTAGAAATATCCTAATTCACACACAAACACAACACAGACACAGACACACACACACACACACACACACACACACACACACACACACACACACACACACACTCATACACTCATACACACACACACACTCATACACACACACACACACACACACACACACACACACACACACACACACACACACACACACACACACACACACGCATAACCCGAGTTTCCTCAACTGGAAAATCCCCCCCCCTCCCGTCCCCTCCAGCTCCCCTTCCCCTCCCCCACTTGGCCTCACTAACACCACTGCAACGGCCCCCTCTCCCCCCTGCACCCCCCCCCCCCTCTCCCTCCCCAGTGGCCGGCCGAACCACGCTACGACATCGCTGTTTGGTACTGGACAGACAAGCGAAACAAAAACAAACAACCAAACAAATACATTTCACCCGCATTTATGAGTAACACATTTGCAAAAAAGAAAAGAAAAGAAAAAAAATAGGAATAGAAAGTAAAGGAAACGAATCGATAAATGACGCAGACTGCCGCGAGGGACATCCGACAAGAAACGAGGAAGCAACTTTTGCAGCATAAGCGAGGGAAAACGGACGATGTTGCTGGGGTAACGTAACGAACAAACGCTAACAAACACAAAAACAAAGGCTACTGACTCTTTCATTCCCATTGATACCATTATAGCGAAGAAAATCGTTGTTTTGTTTCTTCTCTCATCCGAATGAAAACAACCACGACAAAACCAAAACGGTGCTAAAATAATGAAGTACAATTATATGAACAAAATGAGAATTTTTATTATGCGCATCCTCCCTCCACGCTAACGAAAGCCTTTGGGGAGAAAGATTGCAAGGTACTTTTCTGCAACTACTGCACGCGCATTGGAGCAGAAATACAATAATGCAGAAGTACTTTTGTCTTTGTTTTTGTTCTTTGTATATACTTTGTATCCCCGACTCTCATTAAAACCTTATATCGATCCGTTTTGTGTTCTCGTTCTCTTTCTGTTTTTCTTTGTCTCTCTCTCTCTCTCTCTCTCTCTCTCTCTCTCTCTCTCTCTCTCTCTCTCTCTCTCTCTCTCTCTCTCTCTCTCTCTCTCTCTCTCTTTGTTCTCGTCTCCTCGATTCTTTCTTCTGTCTCTTCTCTACTCTTTTCTCCTCCCGTATCTTGTTTCCTCCTCTTTCCACCTCTTTTTCTTCCCTCCTCTCTTCCTCCCACCTCCTCTCTCATATCCTCCCCACCTCTCCTTTCTTTTTTTTTTTTCTTTTCTCCCTTTCTCCACACCTGTCTTCTCCCTCTCCCTCCCACGCGCCCTCATTCCGGCCTGTCCCTCCTGCGCACCGGAGTCAACGACAACGATGGTGATGCTGGCGGGCAGAGATAACACGATAACGCGATACACAGGTCCCTTATCAGTCCTTTATCGGTAATCTGATTCACTCAAACACAGACACTAGCCCCGCGACCTCGGGATGAGGCCACTAGCCCCCCCTTCTGCCCCCCTCCCCTCCTCCCCCATCCGACAGACGCCATGGCATCTCTGCTGGCACCACCAGCGTGTGTCATTTGCATACCTACATACGCGTCCTCGTATTTACATATGTAAGTTTATATGCTTCTTTTTTAGCTGTCATTAGAAATATACTTAGAAATACACACAAACATCTGCACGCACGCACACACACACACGAACAAACGCTAACAAACACAAAAACAAAGGCTACTGACTCTTTCATTCCCATTGATACCATTATAGCAAAGAAAAGCGTTGTTTTGTTTCTTCTCTCACCCGAATGAAAACAACCACGACAAAACCAAAACGGTGCTAAAATAATGAAGTACAATTATATGAACAAAATGAAATTTTTTATTATGCGCATCCTCCCTCCACGTTAACGAAAGCCTTTGGGGAGAAAGATTGCAAGGTACTTTTCTGCAACTACTGCACGCGCATTGGAGCAGAAATACAATAATGCAGAAGTACTTTTGTCTTTGTTTTTGTTCTTTGTATATACTTTGTATCCCCGACTCTCATTAAAACCTTATATCGATCCGTTTTGTGTTTTCGTTCTCTTTCTGTTTTTCTTTGTCTCTCTCTCTCTCTCTCTCTCTCTCTCTCTCTCTCTCTCTCTCTCTCTCTCTCTCTCTCTCTCTCTCTCTCTCTCTCTCTTTGTTCTCGTCTCCTCGATTCTTTCTTCTGTCTCTTCTCTACTCTTTTCTCCTCCCGTATCTTGTTTCCTCCTCTTTCCACCTCTTTTTCTTCCCTCCTCTCTTCCTCCCACCTCCTCTCTCATATCCTCCCCACCTCTCCTTTCTTTTTTTTTTCTTTTCTCCCTTTCTCCACACCTGTCTTCTCCCTCTCCCTCCCACGCGCCCTCATTCCGGCCTGTCCCTCCTGCGCACCGGAGTCAACGACAACGATGGTGATGCTGGCGGGCAGAGATAACACGATAACGCGATACACAGGTCCCTTATCAGTCCTTTATCGGTAATCTGATTCACTCAAACACAGACACTAGCCCCGCGACCTCGGGATGAGGCCACTAGCCCCCCCTTCTGCCCCCCTCCCCTCCTCCCCCATCCGACAGACGCCATGGCATCTCTGCTGGCACCACCAGCGTGTGTCATTTGCATACCTACATACGCGTCCTCGTATTTACATATGTAAGTTTATATGCTTCTTTTTTAGCTGTCATTAGAAATATACTTAGAAATACACACAAACATCTGCACGCACGCACACACACACACACACACATAGACACACACACACACACACACACAAACACACACACACACACAAACAAACAAAACAAAACGAGAGGAAAAAAAGGCACAAAGAAACAAACAAACATTTAATTTCCCTCCTAACGCTCCGACGCTTCCTGAGTAAATCCGATCCAGTTTCCGATTAAAAATTCAGGTATGCAAATACACTCTCACTTTCTTCCCGCTCGTAGACAGACACGGGTAAGCTGGCGACCGAAGAGCAAACACGACAATGGGCGTAAAGGAGAGTGTGTTAAAAACGGAGCTTTAAAATAAAGTGCTTTGAGGGAGCGTGTTGGTTCGCGGTAATAGCTCCTCCCTACCCCTATGCCCCACCCCCACCCCCATCCCACACGCCCCTAACGCAACAACTGTGTATATCTGTCAACAGGAACATATTAGGACACAAATAAACTCACACAAAAACCAGCACAGACACACACGTAGACACACACACGCCCACAGACACACACACACACACACACACACACACACACACACACACACACACACTCACATTCACACCTACATTCACACACACACACACACACACACACACACACACACACACACACACACACACACACACACACACACACACACACACACACACACACACACACTCTCCTTCACCCCCCTGGCCCACTTCCCACACGCCCAACCTATTTCCGTGGAGGCAGAGATCACGGCTGATTAGCAGTCAAATATTAATAATATTGAATAGGCAAACAGCGGGCACAAAGGAGAGTCGAAGAAGAGAGAACAAAGAAAGTCTGTATCTGTTCTCCATCTTCTTTGTTCCTTTCGTCTTGTTCTCCTTGTCTTTTCTTCCTGTTCTCCTGCTCAGCATAAACACTAAATGTCTGTGTTTGTTTGGAGAAAAAATAATGTTAGAAATCAACTAGTGTGACGCGCAGTGGCTCCTAAGTGGTCACCTTTAGGTACCTAGTAGAAGGGCGTGGGCGCGCACAAACACACCGACTAACACTAACAAAAAAACGAACGCAAACACATGCGCGAACCCACACAAACACATAGATACACAAACACATAGATACATACGCACTTGCAAAAACACACACATACAAACAGACACGGCCATAAACACATACAAAAACATATGTACGACAGACACGCAATCGCACTCAAAGCAGACAGACAGACTCACAAGCTAGCGCACACAGACACACGCGCACCAAAACACACACACACACACACATACACACACACGCACGCGCCGCAAGTCGTTCAGCAAACTTAACATTTCGTCTCAAGTTCTCGCCTAAACTTCTAAAACTTTCATTTTCTTCTTTTTCACTTTTCTCTCCATCCACCTGTCTGGTTGCCTTGTTTATTACGATTACTTTCTTCGTGTTCTGATTCGCCCTTTTAACCTTTACAATATCTATCAAATTTATCTATTTATGCTTCTTTTATCTATTCACCATTCTATCAACTGTATCAATGCATCATGATCATAATAATT